ATACAAATATATCCACTCAAAATGAGTTTTTTTTTTTTTTTTTTTAATTATTATTATTATTTTTTTCTATCCATTAATCCTTATACGATTCCATCTTTGTGGACCGACGAACGATAGGTCGGCCATCTTGGAGAAGCTTATCAAGAATGGGTACATCAACCAATTGTCAGCAAAGAAACACCGAGATTTTTTGAAAATGACTTCATGGAGGTATTATTATCCCAACATTTTCATTTAAAAATCGCTATTGGAAGTCACATCCTTGAGTTCTCTTGGAATTATTATATACATTCCTCAGGAATGTAATTGTGCGAAAACGTATTGGATGTGTTTCTGATTTGAACTTCTGTTTTCGGTAGAGAACAGTAAAAAATCAAGAAGGAAATGGGTTTTGAGAGTGAGATTGGATATGAAATAAATGTATACCGATTGAATTGTGCTAGTGAATCGTCGAAATTGTAGGAAAATGTATAGTAACAATAGTTTCAAGTTGATGTTCGATTCACATATTCCAATCACGACCTCTTTTTCGAAGCTTCTCTTTTTCCAAACGAGGCTTGATTTTCTTATGTCTTCACGGTGGACTTGATTTTACCAAAGAAGATGTGTACCGATTGAAATTGTGCTAGTGAAAATTGTCGAAATTGTAGGAAAATGTATAGTAACGATAGTTCGAGTTGATGTTAATTTGATTCACATCCAATCATGACCTATATTTCGAAGCTTCACTTTTTTCCAAACGAGGCTCGGTTTTCTTATCTCACTCTTACCTCAAATATGTGAATCAGTTCTTGACACGCACTGCGTGGTGGATAATCCCGCTCGTCTGGCTACCGGTCGTGTGTTTTTTCGTGTTGTCATCCATAAAACTCGGACTCCCTCCGAATGATGTGGCGTTAGCCATTTTCTGCGGTATTATGGTGTGGACACTTGTCGAGTACGCTTTGCATCGGTTTCTTTTCCACATAAACACAACAAGCTATTGGTAATACTCATGATCTCTTAATCTTTTTTGCTCGTCTTTTACTTTTTTCGTAATCACGAAAAAATATATTTCTTATAGATTTCGAAACTTAAAAAAAAAAAAAAATGCAGGGCAAATACATTGCACTACCTCATTCACGGTTGCCATCACAAGCACCCGATGGATGGCCTCAGGCTCGTTTTCCCTCCAGCCGCAGCTGTCATTTTAGCCTTTCCGGTATGTAAAAAAAATAAAAAATAAAACAAAAACGGGCTCGTGTTTTTTTTGTTTTTTCGTTTTTATTTATTGTTGAAAATTTGAGTCTTTTATCTTTCGGTTATTTCAGTTGTGGAGTATGGTCAATCAGCTTGCATCGGAGGCTTATGCCCCTGCTGTGTTCGGAGGCGGTTTGCTGGGATATGTTATGTACGATTGCACTCATTACTATCTACACTATGGAAAACCATTGAAAGGCATTTCTCATCAACTCAAGGTGAACCTTTTTACAGCTGATGTTTGGTAAACATCAGTTGTTATCAACTAGCTTATAATTTTTAAGTGAATTTTGAGCTTATAGCTAATATTTAATGACTTGTGGCTGAAAAATTAGCTTATATGATAAAAGTGTTTGGTAAAATTAGCTGAAATAAAAATTTCAACGAGCTTATTTAAAAAACTATCTAAAGAAAAAGTTTATGAGATAAACTCGAGCTTTTTAAAAAAGTTCGTCCTACCAAAACGAAGCTATTTGAATATAAGAAATTTATAAGCTAATCAAATAAGGCAAACATAGCCTAAGTTTACAAATTGTGGTTAGTTAATATCGAAATGTGGTATTTGTATGCATCCCTTTGGTAACATTCTTGATCGATTTTTGACAATTTTAGTTTTTATCGGTGCAGAGAAATCACATGGAGCATCACTTCAGAATTCAGGACAAGGGATTCGGAATCACTTCGAATTTCTGGGATAGGGTTTTTGGAACACTTCCTCCTAGTAAATGTACCAAAAAAAGTAGCTGAATATATAGTTTGCTTTTTTTGAAATTTAAATGTGGTTAAATGAAAGTATATATAAAAAATTGGAGTGCTGGTAAAATTCATCACCTTCTTTGTTGGGACTGTAGAATGTTT